TTTTTTTTAAAGACAGGGTCTTACTGTGTTACTTAAGCTGGAGTGTAGTGGTGTAATCACAGCTCCCTGCAGCCTCGACCTCCTCAGCTCAAGCGATCCTCCTGCCTTAGCCCTGAGGGTAGCTAGGACTACAGCCACACATCACTGTGACTGGCTAATTTTCAAATGTTTTTGTAGTAGTGGGTCTTGCTATATTGCCCAGACTGGTCTCGAACTCCTGGGCTCAAGCTGTCCTTCCACCTTGGTTTCCCAAAGTGCTGGGATTATAGGCATGAGCCACTGCACCTGGCCTGTACCACATTTTCTTTATCTACTCCACCGCTGATGGCCACCTAAGTTGATTCCATGTCTTTGCCACTGTGAATAATGCTGCAATGAACATACAGGTGCATGTATCTTTTTAGTAGGATGACTTATTTTCCCTTTGGGTATATGCTCAGGAGTAGGATGGCTGGGTTGAATAATAGTTCTCTAAGCTCTTTGAGAAATTTCTAAACTGCTTTCTACAGTGGCTGGACGATAGCTTCTTTCTTACTCTTAGTTATGAAAGCTTAATGGCACCAGGACAGACAAGGTGATATGAAAGAAGCAAGCCTCTATCTCTCTCGTTGACATTGGCTCCAGCCTGTCCACCAGCCTCAGCAGCCTGTCCCTACTTCTCCCCACAGCACCCAGGGAAGTCCTGGTTCCTGCCCTCAGCAACTTGCTGCTCCATCCTCAACTAAGCCGCCATGCCTGGTGGGTACAAAGGGGAGTGTGGGGATGATGTGGACCCTATGCCTTTCCTGGCACCTCCCGAAAAGGAGAGGATCGAAGCCATGAACAAGCCCTATGACATTAAGAGGTCCTGCTGGGTCAAAGATGAGAAGGAGGGCTTCGTCGCTGGGGAGATCCAGTCTGAACAGGGTGACCAAGTCACCGTGAAGACAGTAACCAACCAGGTGAGTGCGGCATGATCTCCAGGATGAAACCAAGCTTGGGAGTGGCAGGCACCCAGGCCTTTTCTAGGCATGCTCCCAGCCAGGAGACAGGGTGGCAGAAAGAGCAGGTGCCTCTGAGTCCCACGTACTGGGGTCAAATCCAGACTCACCTACACTCAAGCTCTGTGGCCCTGGGCAAGACGCATTCCCTCTCCGAGCTACATCACAATAGAGATTCCAAGACAGGACACATGAAAATACTTCATAGACTCTAAAACAATACCATGCATAAGGGATGATCATGAGTTACTTGTCTTTGATGTCCCAAACAGTTCTCACATGGAAGCTATTTTCTAAGCATGACAGCATGTCACTCATGAGCAATGTCACTGTATGCCATGGCTGCTGGTGGCATGAGGGGCATGAGAGAGGGCACAGAACACCCTGGCTCACTGGGTGAGCTCCTCAGCTGCATGAAGAACAGATGGTGGTTCCCAGGCCCCTTGCAGCATGACAGTGGTGTGCTGGATGTGATGGCTTGTGATAGCTTTTAATGGATTGCAAGAACCCAACCTGGCTTTCGATGGCTTACAGGGACCCAAACTAGCTTTCAATGGCTTGCAAAAACCCAACCTGGCTTCTCATGGCTTGCAGGGACCTAACCTGGCTTGTGATGGTTTGCAAGGACCCCAACACTAAACATTGACGGACTTTACAGCCAGTTGTTAAACCTTGGGTAACCTGCTATCAGACATGATGGAAGTATTCACACCATGGAAATGGGCACATGCTCTAAATCAGGGGCATTTCCCCTCAGACAGCTGGTTTACCAACCCACCCCTCTCTTCTGGTCCACACTGTGTCTGGCCATATGTGAGATATGACTTGAGAGAGTGGACAGAAAATTTGGTTTATTAGGCTGGGCATGGTGGCTCACACCTGTAATCTCAGCATTTTGGGAGGCTGAGGCAGCAGGATTACTTAAGCTCAGGAGTTTCAGACCAGCCTGGGCAACTTGATGAGACCCTGACTTTATTATTATTATTATTATTATTATTATTTTGAGATGGAGTTTTGCTCTTGTTGCCCAGCCTGGAGTACAGTGGTGTGATCTCTGCTCACTGCAACCTCTACCTCCCAGGTTCAAGCAATTCTCCTGCCTTAGCCTCCCGAGTAGCTGGGATTATAGGCATGTGCCACCATACCCGGCTAATTTTTTGTATTTTTAGTGGATACAGGGTTTCTCCATGTTGGTCAGGCTGGTCTCGAACTCCTGACCACAAGTGATCCACCCACCTCAGCTTCTCAAAATGCTGGAATTACAGGTGTGAGCCACTGTGCCCAACCCCTTTCTTTTTTAAAAAATAAAATTTTTTATTAAAAATTTTTAAAATGTGGTTTATTTTTAACATATACAGGCAGGGGTCTCCTTGTATTCTTTGCAGACCCCTGGTGAGGCACCTGATGATTTGTTTAATCCTTTCAGTAACCTTAAGTATAATAGGATTTATTGACCCTATTTTGCAGAGAAGGAAGAATGAGGATCAAGGGCACTTTAGGTGACCTGTGCACGTTGCAAAGACAGCAAATGATGAACTTGGATTCAAACCCACTGTATCTGCTCATATGCAGAATGGACCTGCAAGGTCCATTCCTGGTTAATTTCATGACGAAAAGAAGTCAGAGACCAGGCACTGTGGCTTACACCTGTAATCCCAGCACTTTAGGAGGCCGAGACAAGCAGATCGCTTGAGGCTAGGTGTTTGAGACCAGCCTGGGCAACATAGTGAGGCCCCAGTTCTACAAATAAGTAGCCAGGTGTGGTGGTGCGTGCCTATGCTCCCAGTTGCTTGAGAGGCTGAGCCAGGAGGATCGCTTGAGCCCAGGAATTCAAGGCTGAGGTGAGCTAGGACTGCACCCCTGCATTCCAGCCTGAGTGACAGAGAGAAGCCTTATTTCAAAAAAAAAAAAAAAAAAAAGGAAGCCACAGACCTCAGTAATCAGAACTGGCAACAGCCCATTTTCCTCTGCACCTGCCTTTGAGAGGAGTGTTGGTAAAAAGGTGAGGTTGTAGTTGGGTGGAAATGAGTTTGAACGAAAGTCAAGCTTAATTCCCAGGAGAAACAGTTTTCAGAGAGGAGAGTGTCATAGTGTCATGAGAAATGATGGCTGATGATAGTGGAGCTCCAGAGTGCATTCAAGTTTGGATGTACAATTAAAGACAACACAATTTCCTTCAGTATCTGCAGTGGACAGGCTGGCCAGCCAGGTTTGGGACAGAAAAGATGGAGCCTATGGCGCTGGCTTCCCTGGCTTCTAAAATAAAGGCCAAGTCCTCCATTCCTCTGCTGAAAGCGAAATGTCTGCACATGGACGAGGACCAAAGATCTGGAAACCCCTGGAAATGAACTCAGAATAAAACCCAGCTTGAGGCCAGGAGTGGTAGCTCACGCCTGTAATCCCAGCACTTTGAAAGGCTGAGCAGGGCAGATCACCTGAGGTCAGGAGTTTGAGACCAGCCTGGCCAACATGGCAAAACTCTGTCTCTACCAAAAATACAAATATTAGTCAGGCATGGTGGCCGGTGCCTGTAATCCTAGCTACTCTGGAAGCTGAGGCAGGTGAATTGCTTGAACCTAGGAGGTGGAGGTTGCAGTGAGCTGAAATGATGTCACTGCACTCTAGCATGAGTGACAGAGTAAGACTGTCTCAAGAAACCAAAAAACAAAAAAACAAACGATCAAAAAACCTAGCTTGATTTACTAAGGGTGTGGTAACCATTACTGGGGAGGATTTTCCAAAACTGTCAAGATTTCAAATTATCTGCTTATTGTACTCATAAATTATTAAAAGTCCCAGAAATCCTAGTATGGAATAAGGCCTCAAATCTAAGTCTGCAAGCAGCCAAAAGGTATTTGTTTTCTAGACTGCATGTGTTCAGCTTTGATCCCAGATGCTGGAGCTTCTTAAAAGCTAGCGCTAGTTTTTTTGTTTGTTTGTTTGTTTTCTTCCTTGCTCTGTTACCCAGGCTGGAGTGTAGCAGCATGATCTCAGCTCACTGCAACCATTGCCCCCTGGGTTCAAGTGATTCTCCTGCCTCAGCCTCCCAAGTAGCTGCGATTACAGGTGTGTGCTACCATGCCCAGCTAATTTTTGTATTTTTAGTAGAGATAGGGTTTTGCCATGTTGCCCAGGCTGGTCTCAAAATCCTGACCTCAAGTGACCCACCTGCCTTGGCCTCTCAAAGTGCTGGAATTACAGGCATGAGCCACCATGCCTGGCCTAGTTTTCATTTATAGATGAAGAAGAAATTGGGGTGCAGCATGGGGAAGAGATCTGCCCACATGCACAGGCACAAACACACCTACTGATGAATGCTCATTACTGTTTTTCTTCTTCTTTTCTTGCTTGCTTTCAATTTTATCCTTGAAGGTGGCTTGGAGCAAACAGGAGAATGTCTTTTTTTCAAATGGAAAAGTGGCTGCATGCGGTGGCTCACACCTATAATACCCGCACTTTTGGGGGCCAAGATGGGAGGATCGTTGGAGGCCAGGAGTTCAAGACCAGCATGGGCAACGTAGCAAGACCTTTTCTCTAGAAAAAAAATTAAAAATCCCGCTGGACACTGTGGCTCACTCCTGTAATCCCGGCATTTTGGGAAGCTGAGGCGGACAGATCACACGGTCAGGAGAGCAAGACCATCCTGACTAACATGGTGAAACTCTGTCTCTACTAAAAATACAAAAAGTTAGCCAGGCGTGGTGGCATGCTTGTAGTCCCAGCTACTCAGGAGGCTGAGGCAGGGGAAACGCTTCAACCCAGGAGGCAGAGGTTGCAGTGAGCCGAGATCACGCCACTGCACTCTGGCCTGGGCGATGGAGCAACACTCTATCCCTGCTCCCCCACCAAAAAAAAAAAAAAAAAAAAAAAACTTAAAAATCAGCCAGGCCCGGCAGTGTGCACCTGTAGTCTCAGCTACTCAGGTGGCTGAGGCAGGAGGATTGCTTAAGCCCAAGAGATCAAAGCTGCAGTGAGCTATGATTGTAGCACTGCACTCTGGCCTGGGCAACAGAGCAAGATTATATCTCAAAAAATTAAATTACGTTTAAAATTTAAAAATGGAAAAGTTGGGCTGGTCTGAAGGTAGTAAGTTCTCTGCATTGATTGTTCATGATTAGTTATAGATCAAACTCCCTGTTCCACTTTCCCTTTCTCATTACTGCACTTAGCCTTTTTAAAAAAGAAAAAGAGAAATGGAAAAGCTCATTGCTACTTTGAAACCACCGCTAACTCTCAAGGCAGAGAGCCAAGAGTCACATCTCTGCAAAGTGTCCATGGGATCAAAGAGCAAGCTCTGATCAGCTATCAGGATGGATTTGGCTGGAAGAGAAGCACAGGCCAGAGGTTCTCTGTAATATAGGGAGGGAACGTCATAGTTTAGAAGGCATTTTTTCATGATTCCACTTAAGTTCATATAATTCTCCCAGCAACCAGCCGAGGAGGCTACTGTCATCCCAATTTCAGAGAGGGGGCAGTTGAAGCTGCATTGGCCTCAGAGGTGCCTCCCCATCCCAGGACACACAGGGGGGTGTGGCTGGACCAGGACTTGGGTCCACTGGATGCTCCACTCCATCTCCTTCTGGGACTCCAGAGTGTCTGGTGATCTGGGCCAGATGCCCCATGCCTGGGACGGCACTATTTCCTGATGCCTGTGCTGCTGTGTCTTGACCCCCCTCAGACAGTCACTGTGAAGAAGGATGATATCCAGCAGATGAACCCACCCAAATTCTACCAGGCCAGCGACATGGCAGACATGACATTCCTGAATGAGGCCAGCGTTCTAGACAATCTGCGCCAACGCTATACCAACATGAGGATCTATGTGAGTTCTGGGGACGGGGTGAGCGGTGGAGGGGGGAGGAAGGAGTGGCTGCAGATCTTCTGCCCTTCTTCTGATGCGGGGAGGGGGGGGCTACTCCATTTTCCCCAGTTCCCAATATACATTATGACTCAGAAAAAGGCACAGGGACCATGTTTTTGACATGTTAGAATTTCCACCCAAAGCCTTTGACATCTCAGTAATGGCACCAATGAGCAACTGAAACACCCTTTGCTGAGGCTCTCACCCAAAAATCTTCCTCCTCATGCTCCTCCCCTCTTCCTCAAAATCTCACATCAAAACACCATTTTCCCCCAGTGTCTTCACGTGCCATATTAGAAGTCCATCCATCCATCCATCCATCAATCCATTCATCCATCTATTCATTCTTTCATTCATCCAAACATCCTTCCATCCAATCATCCATCCATCCATCCAAATATCTATCCATCCATCCATCCATCAATCCATTCATCCATCTATTCATTCTTTCATTCATCCAAACATCCTTCCATCCAATCATCCATCCATCCATCCAAATATCTATCCATCCATCCATCCATCAATCCATTCATCCATCTATTCATTCTTTCATTCATCCAAACATCCTTCCATCCAATCATCCATCCATCCATCCAAATATCTATCCATCCATCCATCCATCATCCATCCAGCCACCCATCGTCCATCCAAACATCTATTCATCAATCCAAGCATCCAAACATTTATCCATCCATCCATCCAACCATCTATCCATCAATCCAAACATCTAAACATCCATACATCCATCCATTCATCCATACATACATCCAAACATACATCCATACATACATCCAAATATCTATTCATCCAAACATCTGTCAATCCAGACATCCAAACATTCATCCATCCATCCATCAAAACATCTTTCCATCAATCCAAACATCCAAACATCCATCCATACATCCATTCATCCATACATACATCCAAACATCTATCCATCAATCCAAACATCCAAACATCCATCCATCAACCAAACATGTATCCACCCATCCTCCCATCCAAACATCCAAATATCCATCCATCCATTCAATTGTTCTTCAAAACATTCACCCACCCATCCATCCAACAAACATTGAGATTTAATTGTAGCCTGAGGCACTTAGGAAGGACAACAGACTACATCCTTGAAGAAGTTCAGTTTCAGTTTGATGTGATGACCAGAGTGGGTTACAATCAGTCCCCTGAGTGTCTTGCAAATCTTAAGACAGAAAGATTATTTCCTGAAGGTGTTGCAGCTTAACTCACTAAATTGGTTGTCTAAGGACATGTTGGTGTTTGCCTCTCTAGATGCCTTTATTAAAAAGGAAGGAGGCTTATCTGGTAGGAATAGGTGAGGTGCAGCCTGATTCCCGGGTCTGGGGCTGCTGGGGTTCTCCCTCCCTGGGTCCATGGTTATACCCAAGAGGACTTCTGTGACCTCAGATTCTTCCTCCTTAATACTAATGTGGTTATAGATTCAGGCCCCAGCAGCAGCACCATAGCCACAGGTGGTGTTGGAAGGTCTCTGAGAAGCTCTTGAAGAGATCTGCTAGGTCTAGAGGTTAGCAGGGCATCCTTGGACCCCAGGTCTAAAAAGAGCCACACCCAGGCTGGGCACAGTGGCTCACACCTGTAATCCCAGCACTTTGGGAGGCTGAGGTGGGCGGATAACAAGGTCAGGAGTTTGAGACCAGCCTGGCCAACATGAAACTCCATCTGGTGAAATTCCATCTCTACTAAAAATACCAAAAAAAAAACAAATTTTTTTTTTTT